CAGTTCCAAGCATCGTCTTCAGCTCAGACGCTGGCATGGACCGGCGCTTTTGGTGGCATTAGAAGGGGATGCAAACGCCTTCCTGAGCCATCGTGGCCAGTTGACCAAGTGCAGTTTGGAGCACATCCGAAAAGCTTCTGCACTTGAACAGGTAGCTGCCGGAAGTTGGGAGGCTGCCATCAGGGAGGTCATAGAAGCAGTTCCAGTCCCTGAAGATGTGCCAGTACCTGATGACCCGTTGGCAGATGATGTTGATGCTGAAGTTCAAGATTTGTTTGAAAATGATGAACCAACACCGGTTCCACCTGTGTCCAGTTTAGAGCAACAAGCCCAAGCATTGGCGGCTCCATTGAATCCAGCTGAAGTGGTCGCAGTTTTGCAACCGCCGTCAGCCGCCTTGAGACAGTCATCAGCAGTGACTTCATCATTGCCTCCGCCTCCAGCATCCGTGGGGCATGGACCAAGCCAATCCTTGCAGGGTTCGGAAACGCCTGCGCCCTTGCCTACTCCTTTGGCAGCTGCGCCAAAACCATTGATGAGCTCTTCGATTTCTCGAGCTCGATCCTTGGACTCAGCCTTAAGTCCAAGAGGAGGAGGAGCTAAGCGGCCTGCCTTCCGACCTCCAGTGCTTGAAAGGGAACGTGGGAGACCTGGAGCTCCAACGACACCAACCAGTGGTGTCCCACAGTCCTCCAAGGCGTTTGAAGCGATGGTTTTGTCATGGGAGCAGCTGTGCAACTTAGCTGAGACGGCGGAGAACATTCATCCGCTGATGAGATTGCAAGCTCAAGCTGAGATGGATAGGAGAGCACCGTTTGACTGCCTTGAATCGGATCATGGTTCATGGGATGGACGTTGGAGTTTTCTGTGTGAGCGAGAATGGGAACTCCAGCGAGAACTTTCTCAACAGTTGCCTTGCGGCGATGGTGCGCTTGAAGCCATGACAGTTCAAGCCAGTCGGAAGGAATACCAATGGAGCAAGATGGATCCTGAAGACCGCAAGCTGTGGTCTGAAGCCGCGACCAAAGGGTGGCAGACTTACCTTGAGAATGAGGCAGTCCAGGTTCTTGATATGAAGCGTTCTGCTGAAGTCCGCCGTGAGTTGGCCCAAAAGGGTGAGCTGGACAAGATCATGCGCCCTCGCTTTGTTCTGACGGACAAAGCGGATGGACTCCGAACTGAAACCAACAACCTGGAGAAGCGACCTTCAGCGCGATTGGTGGTTCCTGGATTTCGGGACACTGCAAACCTGGAAGGAAAGCTGCGCCAAGATGCGCCAACTGGAAGTCGACTTGCGCAACATCTACTGTTCATTCTAGCAGCATGGCATGTGGATTGGAAGTTGATCAGTGGTGATGTGAAGGCTGCTTTTCTGAAAGGAGATCCCTACCTGGATCGCATCCCTTCATCTTAGCAATTTTCGTTAAAGTTCTTGTTACTCTGGGAGAGGAGGATGCATCAACATCTTGTTGCCAATAGGCATGAGCCGTGTGTTTTTAGTTTGTCAGATCTGCTCTAATGCTTTCTTGGCGCGCGACGTGCATGTTTGATTCAGAGGACCAGCTCATTGCTCAACCCGTATTTTCTGTCACTTGCAGACTTGCAGTTGAATAGCGGTGCGTCAAGCATGTGCTTGATTATGAAACAATTTTCATCGGAGACTGGTGGTTCAAAAACGTTCATACAAGGTCTCACTATCTTGTTTTTTAGGCCTTGTTGGCAAGCATTCCATGATATGATAGTCATGGTGATCCGGCTCAAGCATTTTTGGATAAGGTTGAAATATTTGATATTGGCATTCCCAAACTTTGAGCTAGCGGGGTATGTTTTGTGTTTCTGGCTTAACCTTGCCAGAGATATGGAGCTTTTCGTGCGATGAGGCTTCGAGATTTACTTTGGCTTTTTGAACCCACCAAAGCGCACAGCGCGGCCTCCACAGACTAATTTTCGCAAAAAGCTTTTCTGATCATATTTTGTACAGTTTTTTGCATTTTTTGGACATTTTGCTGCCGCGGTCCAGGAAAAGGATGCGCGGCCATGGAATTTTGTGTTTTCAGTAAATCAGCAGGCATTTCGCTGCATGGCGCAAATGAATTTCGTTCAATTTCGTTCGTTTCGTGCGCACTTTGTGAACCAAATTTTAGCTGCGAATGCAGGAAGCAAAATCTTCAGTAAAAGTCTTGAGTTTGCAGGCTTTGAGCCATGGTAAAGGCTTTGTGGTGCAGATTGCAGCAGAGTTTGCAGGCTAATTCGCCTGAAAACTGATTGTGTCAGGGATCTTACGAACCAAATTTCGTGCAAATTTGGTTTGCTTTTCGTGCGCTTTTCGTTCGTTTCGTGCGTTTTCGTTCGTTTCGTGCGTTTTCGTTCAATTTCGTGCGTTCTTGTGTTTGATCTCAGTATCACATTAAATCCTTCATTTTTTTGCTTTTTGTCTCCATGTTGTGCTCTCGAGGTGGCATTTGCGCGTGAAATTTTGAAAATGTACGAGATCAGCGCAGCCGGCAGCGTTTTGGCGGGGAAGGATTTGAGCGAGGCTCTTGTTATGGTGCGACTAGTTTTTCCTGCTTTGATTTTTTTAAAAGCTTCCGGCTTTGGCAGCAGTGTCCTTGTGGCTGCCTTGTTTTGATCTGCGCTCTTCTGTAAGGTTCAATCATGTCAATATTGTTTCAGCTGTACAAATCTTGCAAGCTCATCTTGAGAGATCTGAAGTCCAAGGCTGGTAGCTAGTAAAAGATAAAATGTCAGCATTGTTTTTTGAACACATTTATGGCCTTGTGCCGTGAGATTGTCATGTCGGCTCTTTTGTGTTGCGCCAAGCCTTGAAAGACGAAATTGCAGCAATTGCGCGCATGCAGGTTCATGCTTTGTGTATCATGCATTTTCACAGTTTTGTCGCAAGCCCAACATGCAGCGTATGAATGCACATGATATTTGAGCCCCGAGAGTTCTTTTGAGGGATGCCTGTGGACTTTTGGAGCTATGCCTCCAGTTCTTGTTGGTTTGGAAAATTTGGTGGGCAGGAAAGCTTTAGTGAAAATTGCTACTTCATCTGTTGTACAGATGAGCGAACCAGTCCACCGATCCCTTTGGCTCCAGGACAGCTTGCTACGGTTAGAAAAGGAATTTTTGGACTAGCCGATGCTCCTCGGCAATGGTGGCTTCGTTTGTCACGCTCAGTGCGCGAGCATGGATGGACCAGAACCCTCATTGATGGAGCAACATGGTTGTTTTGGGAGCCTGGGTCTGCACCAATTGACTCATCCTCCAGTGGCCCCCGAAAGTTGCATGGCATTATGGTGGCGCATGTTGATGATCTCCTATTTTGCGGTGATGCTGTGGCGGAAGCCGCTTTTGACGCCATAGGCAATGAATTAGGTTTTGGCAGCAAAGAGTTTGATGATTTTGTGTGGTGTGGCAAACGCATTCGTCGAGCAGAAGACCAAACCATTCGCCTTTCCATGGTGGAGTATCACCGCAACCTCAAGCCCATCTATTTGCCTCGAAACCGCAAGGCAGATCCCTCTTCTGAGCTGACCCCGAGTGAGGCGAAACAGCTTCGGGCCCTGCTAGGCAGCTTCCAATGGTTAGTTGCTCAGTTGCGTTTCGACATGGCTTTCGTGACGTCCACTCTTCAAGGTGAGCGTCCGACTATCTCCACCATCCTGCGTTCCAACATGGCTCTCAAGGAGTTTCAGGAGAATCCAGAGTTTGAGCTCATTTTCCGGCCAGTGGATCCTTTGACGTGTGGTGTGATGGTAGTAGCTGATGCCGCTCTGGGAAATGTATCTATGCAAGGTACGACGGAGTGTGGTCTCATGGACAAGGTCTACAGCCAAGCATGCTACTTTGTCCTAGTTGCTGATCAGAAGTTGATGGCAGGCGAGAGTGGAACTTTCAACATTCTAGACGCCAGAAGTCACCGAATCAGCAGGGTGTGTCGCTCCAGTTACGCGGCAGAAACACTCTCCACTGAGGAGGCATTCGACGTTGGTCGTCTCTGCCGAGGCCTGATAGCAACGGTTCGTGGACATGACCTATATGGTAAACGTGCTGAAGTGGCCATGGACTCCGTGGACATGCAAGTTGTGGTCGATGCGAAAGACGTCCACGACAAGACCAACAGTGATACCACGTCATTTGGAGCTCAGAAATCACTTGCCTTTGTGGTTGCCTGGCTTCGCTCTGAGCTTCGTCGACCCAGGACGCAGCTGAAGTGGACATCAACTGAGAACATGTGGGTTGACGCAGGTACCAAAATCATGCTCCTGAACCATATGAGAAGAATCATAGCCCTAGGCCAGTGGTGTGTCTCCTATTGCCCAAGCTTTGTCAAACAAGTGTACAAGGCGGTGAAGGTTAAGCCCATGATCAACGCCGCAAAGGCCCATGATGCTGAGCCGTTTGGTGAGGCCCTTTCCAAGGAAGATGCGATGGTGGGTCACTTGATGAAGCTGAGCGAGCAACGTGGATGGCACCACCGACCCGGAGTTGGAATCAATGTGGCAACCAATGCGAAATCATTCAGAACGCCTGAGCCGAGGTTTTCAGTGACGCAGTTTCCGCTTCGCACTACGTATGTGAGAATCGACCATCCATCTGGTCAGTGCGAATGGCGTAGGTTAGAATCAGGTGTCAAGTACAGCGACTTTTCAAACCAGCATGCGCTGTTTGGTCGAGTGGCACCCATTTTGATTACGCTGTTTCATAGCGATGATGCGTTTGATCTGTGAATGGCATCCAATTGCCAAAACAAAATAGAGGGCATGTGAAAGCACTGTCCTGGCATGGATGCACATTCATCAGGTGTTACATATGCCGATTGGACGGCTCGAAGGCCTAAGCCATTTGCGCTGCGCGTGGAAAGATTGCAATGGCGTGAGCATCGTTTGATCGTTGCTGCAGCTTTGCATTCTACACTGGGTATAGTAGCCACTGCACAACGAAAATTAAGACTCATTAAGGGCGTTGGTATTTCTGTTGCGTTCTGCACCTCCAAGGTTCTACGTGTGAACGGAATCGAGGCAAGCATGTGGTGTACAGCATGGCATTGTGGTGTGGTATAATCCCCTGATGTGACACACTTGAGTTTTGCATGAATACCACACGAATGACCACTTTGGTACTTGATACTACTTGACAATACTTGACAAATCTTGGCATCTGAATTTGGACATCGTCACTTTCAGGTGCCGTTCAGCTTCACTGGGCTTTACAACCTCGCTTGCCGTGCCAACCACTCGTGTGCGCAAGACACCCAGATGCAGGTCCTGCAGGATCATAGCAGCACAGTGGCAAATTTTGGCAAGGCCTTGCTGTCGTGTTTCGGTGGCCGAAGGCGGTCAGCTCAGGCAAGGAATTGCCATGATCTATAGATTTTATAGTTTTGTGCCTTCCAAATCCATGTCTACTCTTGTTCGCCTTGGCTGGTGCTTTGACCTTGCAAGGATAGTGGCGCTACGGCCGATACTCGCAGGAGACGAGGTCACAGTGTTGCCTGCTCAGAGAGAGAGAGAGAGAGAGAAGTTTGCTTTCGTTTCGCTTTGTCGCTAGGGATACAATCAACAATTTTTTCCCGTATCCATGCAGCAATTTCGAACCAAGGTCCTATTTGTCTGAACTGGAACTTCTGGAGGTTGGATCAGTCCGAAGGAGTGGTTTTGGAGTTCCAGGGCTGTTCAGAAAGTCGCTTCAAATGTGGCTGGCAAAAGCAGGCCACTTTTTAAGTGCCCGTGCAGGAAGATGCTGGAGACAACTTGGGACTTCCGCTGTACCTGTTCAAGGCAAGATCCAATGCAACTGTTCCTGTTCAAGGTACAAGTCCAATCAAGTCTCCATGTTTTTACAGACCTGCAAGAAGCCAAAGTAGGTGCTCTGCACCAGATGACCGACGTTCAACTCTGTGCCGGGCATGCATTGGTGCTGGCAACTCGTCTTTGAAGCAGCGGGGTACTGGGGTACCATGACCATTTTTGGCTTTCAATCACCTAACCTAAGATGAGATGGGAGCACAAGTAATATCCAACAGAAAAGTAGGTACAACTGCGAATCAGAAGAGAGGTAAACTGCTTCGCAGTTTAGGTATGGATTGATGATTCTGGGTCATAAACACTAGGAGCCTTGCGATAGGAGCCTTGTGCTGGGAAGACATGTCAATGTAATGTAGGTATCTCTTGTCGCGCAGGGACATGCATATGTGCCACTAGAGGAAGTTTTTTGAATGCCATGACGAAGCAGTTGCATTAACAGTAACAGTACACATAACATAACAATACATTCTCTAGCCAGTGTACAGGGTAAATTGGGCTGTTTCGAAGTTGCTCAAAATTTCTCCTCAGAAAGAAAGCTAGCTAAGCCGCCACAAAATTGGTTGGGGATGGAGACTGCAGAAAAGCGAAGGATGACAAATCCTGCCTGTTGGTCGTGGTTGGATTCTAGTTTCAAATAGTTCGCTGTTTAGAAATTTTAGAAGACGTGCATGTTCTCGAAACAAGGTACATGCCCATTCGATACAGCTGATTCGCGCTGAGGCCGGCCCAGTGGACTTGTTGCCCTTCAAACCAGAACTGCTTTGTACTTAGAAAACCATGTGTGAACCTCTGGCAACATCTGTGCAACATGACATAAGACCACCTTTGTACAGTTGGTTGTGGCTGATATGCTGCTCCAGCTCTTTCGTGCAGTCTTCGGTTCAAGTTGCCACGTGGAACTTGGAGGGAATATCGTTCTTGCTTTAGATTGCTGATGACTAGATGACTATGCAGTTCATAAACAGTTCAGAAATACACCTAGGACTTAGTACCATCTTTCTTTGACAACGCACCAGTGCAGAATCATCAGAATCAACCTTTTGCAAGTGCTAAGAGCTCGCTCGTGAATGGCGGATGAACTGTTCCTGAAGGTCATGTTCTTCAAGAAGCTAAGCTCTATTTCTAGCTATTTCCAGTCACCCAGTGGCCATGTACACGGCTAGTGCCATGATGAAAAATGTCACGGCCCTTCCCCGCAGAGTGACGATGCCACGCTGGACCTGTGCTCGGCACGTAACGATTTGGCCGCAATGGCCCTATGACGATGAAACGCGAGCAGCGAAACCCGTGGGCGATCCCAAGTTTCGGTGGCCTCCCAATGCACCGAAGGAGTTCGAACCTGGTGAAGTGATGACGCACCAAGAAGTGCAGCAACTGAGAAAAAAGATCTACAGCAAGATATGGGAGGACAAACGTTTCTGCTTTGAACAAATCATTTTATTTTCTTTGGTTTTGGGTAGCCATTGTCTTCAGTTTCCTGGTTGAGTCAGGACTTGGTTCGGCTGGACTGGTCGACATGGGAACGTCGCTTTTGGGAGCTGAAAGAGCGCGCAATTCCGTATGATGAAACGACCTACACGCTTTTGCTCCATGGCTACGTTTTCTCACACAGGCACCAGGCTGAAAATGCCTACCTTGTTTTGGAAGAGATGAAGAAAGCGGAGACCCATCCCGTGCCTCGGAGTTCACCGCCCACGAGATCCCCAAGAGATCCCAGTCATGCCGAGTCATGCCTTGAAACTGTTGAGTCTGGGAACTTGACATCCTGCACCTGCAACTGCACACAGACGCACACACACACAACATATACATATATAATCATATATATATATAATATGTATAATATATAATATAATATATATATATATAGTATGTATAATATATATATAGTATGTATAATATATATATATATATAATAAACACATATAAAGTTTCAATCAATTTTGCTTAGAACACATATTGGCCGAGAGTGATCTGAACTCCATCACTCAATCCATTGCTACCTAAAGGCCCATAGTGAATCGCTGCTAAGACTCCCATGGCCATTGGCTTTGAGGCCTTGGTGCGGCTCAACGAGCGCATGCTGAACTCTGCCTTTGAGCTTCAAGAGCTTGGGCTCCGAGGTGAAGCTTCGCTGTGGCAGAATGTGGCGCGACTTTGCTTCCACTCCTCCGTGAGATTTCAAAAGAAGAGACAGAAACGGCTGAAAAAGGAGACGTAACAATACATGAACAAAACATGAATAAAACATGAGTAGACATGACTTGAAAGGAGAAGTACATGAAAAGACTGCACATCACAAAATGTTTTTGATGAATACAAAAAGAAACAAACGAGAAGGACTGAAGGACTGAAGGACCTACTATTTAACTATTTCTCACTGCCTAGCAGGACGTCATTGGTGAGAGTGGTCCCATGTTGTGCAGGAGCTGGAGGCTTTGGAGCCTGATGATGCTCTGGCCTTGGATGAGGACAACATCCGGCATTGGCTTAGTGGCCACGATCGATTGGCGTTGCCTGAAGGAGGTCTCAGCCGCTTTCGACCACCAGGAGCCCAAGCGGGAGACTGTTGAAAACTGTTGATTTGTAGGGAGATGAGGTGGTCTTAATTTGTGTGGTCTGGGGCCAAGGTCACAAAGCGAATGTAATGCATGTTGTGTACGCTCTACTTGCAGCCATGACGTTGATATAATATATATATATGCTAACCCTCCCAGAACCCCCGCGCATGTTGAGCAAACAGTTGTTTTACCAGCTCTTGGTCTCTGCATATCACAACTGATGTGTTTGCAGAAAGCAATGCTAGTGAAGTGATCTAAACTGTATATTGATATGCTTGCCACGAGTTAATATACCTTTAGCATACCATTTATCAAAACATGAGAATACCTTGATATATTTTAAATATACCTTTAACATACCTTTAATATATCTTTAAGATTCTGTAATATATGTTCATATTCCTATTGAAATACTGTTGATAGACCATGTCATGAGTGTATCATTTGATATACCATGAATATATATTTTTCAATATCCCTTCAATATACCATTTTATTGACCATGAAAACATGGTTTTATTATTAATATACTTTCCATATACCTTTGAAAAGCAATCTAATACAACTTGACAATACCATTTAATATACCTTTAATATACTGTCTCATATAACATGCGTATACCATGAATATACATGTATTAATACTTTAATATACTTGTAAAAATACTTGTAATATACCTTTAGCATATTGCATACATACAACCATGACCATCACCCAAGGGCTCTACTTTCATAGTAATGTTTCTTTGTATTATTGCATGCTTTTCAATTAAATGGTTCACCCCCCATCGTGAAGGAAGCTTTGCCCATACTTGCACCAACACTTTCTTTTCTAAATACCATGATTATTTAACATAGATACACAAAGGATTCCATTCTGAAATGATGCTGTCCTCCTTGTATAGATTCCTTTACTTCTTTAAAGCTTCAAGTCTCTTTTAAAATAACCTTATATTCCGTTCAAAGAAGTGCTGCAACTCCTTTATATAAGGGGACTGTACAAAATGATACCACTTTTTGCAAGGAATGTAATCTTTGAAAAATATCGCTGCACAAGGCATACGTTGGAGGATTTTGCTAAAAAAAACTTCAAAGTCCATGCTGAAACTTGTTTGCTTCTTCTATTTTCAAGTAGTAGCTGTGTGGATTTTTTCCCATGGTTTTAAACAAAATTCTGGGTGATGAACCAATCTGCACATGATTATATGCCAAAAAGTAGTGCTACACTACAACTCTTTTCTAAATATATTGTATACTGTTTTCAATGAATACTGCATAGACTACGAGAGCTTTCTTATTTAAGTAACTATGTGCTCTTTCAAAGGGACCTCACATGTTTGTTGGCATTTTCTAACGAATACAGCACCCACGAAAGAGTCTTGCAAAGTATGCTATTTGAAAGCAATGTTCCGTTTTCTCATACTTTTCGTAATCGAATAATGCAAAGAGTGATGCTGCGCTATTACATGTGCTTAAGAGTACAACACACATCAAAAGAATGCTGCGTCCATTCAAAGACTTTCTTTCAAGGCAAAACTTGTTCAAAGTACTACTACATCTATCCCTTTGAAAGAAATAGTACAATCTTTAAAAAATGCTCTACCATTTGATGCAATATGTCCGATACTCGTTCAAAAGAGTACTGCGTCCATTTAAGGACTTTCTTTACAGGTAAGAAAGACTCTTTCAAAGTACTACTACTGCATATTGATGCATTCTACTACACAGAAGCAGTACATTCTTTTACAACATACCCCACTGGCCTCAACTATTTTACGCAATGTGTCCGGTACTCTTTGAATCAAATACTGCATCCAATGAAGGACTTTCTTTACAGGTAAGATTCTTTCAATGTCCTGCAGGATCTATTAAAGCATTCTGTTACAAAGCAATGTTACATGTTCTCAAAGAAATACCCCACTATTCCCCCAAAGTATCCTGAAAATGTCAGTTTCCAGGTACTTACATTGTTTGAATATGTCAAACCTAGACAGGACTGTGTATGTACGAATCCAAGGTTCCAAGATTCCAAGATTCCAAGATTTGCACCGAAGTTGCTAGAGATAGAGCAGAAAAGCGTTGCAACAGCTAATTTTCAACGGCATAAACATCACAGCACATCCTATGCCAAGCTTAGTCCCACATAGTGCGCAAGCTCTTGAGTGAGAAACTTTGATCAAAGTTTGACTTCCCAGGACCGATAAGGTAAGCAAGCATAAGGACACAGATGGCAATCATGTGAACCAATAGACAAACCAAAAAAAAAGAACTCGAGCAAAACCAAAAAAACAAAAAAAAATGAGAGCATGTTTGGTTTTGACTCAAAATATTTTTTTTCTGGTTTTCTCTATATAGTTTTTTTGGCTGTGAAATGGAAAAACACCAAAAAACATTTTTTTTGTTTTTTGAATGGATATGATCAATCAAGATATCAAAAAACCAAAAAACTCAGTTTTTTTTGGTTTTCAACATTTGTAGGTTTGGTTTTCTGCATTGAAAGTCTCAAAAACAAAAAACATTGAGTTTTTTTTTTTGATATCTTGATTGATCATATCCATTCAAAAAACAAAAATCAAAGTTTTTTCTCGTTTTTCCATTTCAAAACCAAAAAACAAAAAACTAGGGATAACAAAAAACATCTTTGAGTCAAAAGCAAACATTCTCTCTTTTCCAGCCATATGAGGTTCCACTCGGGATCAATCCAGCCAGAGTATCAGAATGCTTCATCCAAATGTGGAGAAATTATCATCGATACGTTGAATTAGGACAGGTCAACATGCAGGAGATTGTGGACTTTGAGCAGTCACGTCAAAACGTCGAAGGAAGGTTTCCAATGCAAAGCGACATGTTTCTTCTGAGTAGGATCTAACCACTCGCCAGGATTAGACCGGGAACACTGGAGCAGAAAGGCCAATACTTTATCAGGGAACACGACCTTCTTATGTAGATAGATGCTAGCCACGCGATCGAAACCAAATGCGGACAAACGCAGCGATGATATTGCAAGAATTGGGATATGATTTGCTTTCAAGAGTCTCACAACGAAAACTTGAAAACGTCTAGCTAACTTTCCAAGGGTTAGTTCACTGTGAATCCACCCGGGCTGCCAACCATGGGTAGCAACAACATCTAGACTTAGTTCTATCCATGAGTCTTTCTTCAGCCGTGGCCCCCCTCACTGGGACAAACCAGTGAGGAGCGGAAAGATAGCTAGTCAGACTTCTTGCGGCAAGTTGGTAGTTCTTGCAAGCAAACCTTCTCTCAAAAGTTTTTTTGTTTTTGGTGTTGCTTGAGTTTTTTAAGTTTGAGTTTTTTGTTTTGGCTTTTGAAATCAAAAAAACTTAGGGAAAAAACAATCTTTTGAATCAAAGCCAAACATTCTGTTACATTCTCCTCAAAGTTTTGTTTTTTTTCTTGGTTTCCCAGGCATCCCCAAGACTTCTGGCTTTGTTTTTTGTTTTTCCAAGGTTTTTGCGGTTTTGGTGATTCTAGATATCTATATATTATACTGTATACTGTATATGATTTCAGAAACAATAATGTTTACTTAAGTAAACGTATGTAAGTAACCCTAAACAATTGAACATAAAAAATCGTTTTTTTATAATGTAAATGCCAGTACAAACAGCATGTGGGGGGGTTCTGGGGGGTGACATATATATATAGGACAGACTGTGGAGATGTCGATACAATGAATTCCACATACGACAAACGTGTTGAAGTCACATTTCTCGTTTGTGACTGTTTCTTAATATGGTCCACAAAACCTTTGCCGTTGTCTTCCTCGATGGCTTTCTCGGATTCCTCGGCACAGGACCAGAGCTCCAGCGTTTGCCTCCATGGGAGCCAAAGCTTTTACCCGCTCCTGGGGGTCGAAGATCTGGACGACGATCTCGGCGAAGAGACCCGGAGTTGCCGGAGGATTTGCCGAGAAAAGGAGACGTTCGAGCACAGGGTGGTGCCATATAGTTACCTAAGTATAGCTCAGCTAAGTTAGTTTATAACTCCAATAACACGGGTTTATGGATGTGTACGGGGTTTTATCTGTAGTTAATGTTAGTAGATGAACTGATAACTAGGGTAACTAGGGCGCACTACCTTGTAAGCATGTAAGTAGATCGAGTGCAGAACAAGAATAAGAAGAGCAAGTGAACCACCTTTGAAACTTTTAGTAAGTCATAAGTGCTTCTCAACAACGGAGCTTCTGACTGACAGTCTTGCCAGAGACATGCTCGAATTTTTCCACCCCAAGCCTTCAAAAGCGCTTCGTTTGAGGTCCAGTTGGGCGGAGCGACTGCTGAATTGGAAAGCTGGTCTGTTTGCAGCAAGTGTGGTGCAGTGCCAGAGGCAGTTGGGAACGTTTTCTTTACCGTATGGCTGAATGCAGCATGTGAAGTCATGTGGTACCAGGCCTCAGTACTCACAGAAAGCGAAAACATTTGGGTGGCATGCTTAGCCACTGAAAACTGATTTTCCATGATGCTAGTTGGTCATGTTCACTTAGAGACTTCTGATTTGATCCACAGGTTAGGCGATATGAGCAGCTGCCAAGCTGGCCACAAGCTGAGAGCGACTTCTATGCCAGGTATGCAGCTATCTCAGCCTTGGAAGCACCAAATCACCAAGGTGCCGTGACTCGCTCCGCAGCTTCTTAGCACCGAAGGCTCCAAAGCTGAGCATCGCTGCAATCGAAGAGGTGGGGTACTGGTAACACGGTTCCATGGATCTTCCACGAATTTTGATGCTTCCAAGTTTGGATGTCATCGGGAACCAGTTGGGGAATGCCAAGAGATTCAAGGGATGGCATCTCTGCTGAGAACACATTGTGTTTTTGGTGATCAAGCGCAGGAGGATGGACCAGTGGATTTGCAAACTCAAGATGAAGCAACATACGCCACTTGTTCAGCATGAATCAAAGAGCAGGTCCCACCCGTCCAAAAAAACTATATATATATATGATATAATATAAACATTAAATAAACTAATATAATTTGATAAGAATAATATACCATAATATAATATAATATAATAAAATATAATATAATATAATAAAATAAAATATAATATAATATAATATAGTAAAATAAAATATATAGTACAATAAAACAATATATATACAATATAATATATAATACAATATAATATAATGTAATATAACATATTTTCATATATCATTTAAAATGGATTATAATATAAAATAAATTAAGGTGTTACATAATTTAATATGATACAATATAATACAAAACAATATAATATAGTATAATACAATACAAATGATATGTTTTGATTTAATACAATTTATTTTGTAACCTAATATAATACAACAGGATATAATATAGTACAGTATAATATAATGCAATAATTTACAATACAATACAATATAACATAGTACAATATGATATGATTTGATTTAATACAATATATAGTACAATATAATGCAATAAAATATATGATATAAAATAATACTATACAATACAATATTATATAATATAATAAAGTATAGTATAATATAGTTTAGTATAGTATAGCATAGTATAGTATAGTATATTATATAATAATATATATATATAACAATTTATGCTAATGGCAATGTTTTCAACTGGACAGCGCTGTGGATGCAGTCATCGGCTTGCGAGGTGGCCCAAAGCTTGGCCGATATGATTCAACTCCACAGAGACTTTGCGCAAGTTGAGTTTTTGGAGGCTAAGATGGACTGGTATTCTTGACTTTTTATGTATTCTTGACTTTTTCGTTCAATGGAATTAAATCATCTTGGAACCGCTGTTGCGCTGGTTGTCAAATTTGGTCAGGCTCACTGGCTTGCAGCCGACATTGCGGGTGCGAGCGCTGCAGTTGGAGGCTAAGAGCCTGACAGAAATGTGATGTGTGAAACCTGGGTGTTTGAAACTGGGGGGATACCCGCAAAATTGATGGTTTCAAAGTAGAACTGATGCCGATATGATGATGATGATTATTATTATTATTGACAATCGGATTTCCGGGTACCCTATTTTCAGACAAACCAATATCGCATGCACTTCTGGCTTCGACTGGCACGTTTTGTTTGTTACGAAAGCTAGCTTGTGCTAGCTGAAGTTGCTCTTGCTTTAGCAAGGAATAGGCAGGCGCCAGGACCGTTGGAAACCCTCAAACTTTCCAGTTCGGCCCCCCCCCGGCAGGCCCGGGTTCAATCCCCCCCCTGGGCCATTGGTTTCCTGCAGGTATAGGGTCCTCTTCAGTATTTTATCTTCAGGACGTCATGTTCAGTATATCAACCATCAACTCTAAAATCACCAAATGATCATCATTATCTTCTTCTTGCTCCTCCTCCTCATCATCATCATCATCATCACCATCATCACCATTATCGTCATCGTCATCATCGTCGCCATCGCCATCGTCATCCTCATCCTCATCATCATCACCATCGTCGTCGTCATCATCCTCATCACAATCACCATCATCACCATCATCACCATTATCGTCATCGTCATCATCGTCGCCATCGCCATCGTCATCGTCATCCTCATCCTCATCCTCATCATCATCACCATCGTCGTCGTCGTCATCATCATCATCATCATCATCATCACCATCGTCATCATCATCACCATCACCACCACCACCACCATCATCATCATCATCATCATCATCGTCATCATCATCATACTGTACATATGTTGCATTGCCTTGAACATCTTGCGTACGCCTAATGCGATTTGGGCTTCCATTTGGGGGGCATGTTTTTATATTGATCTTGTCTTTCTTTTGCTCAAAAAACATGGAAAGAGACGATTGCTGCATTGGGGGGTTCTTGCTTGCTGGACCCAATGGATATTGCAACCCTAAAACAGCCCGGCTAGCTTTTGTACCCCCACCCTGGCCTCAAGTTTTTTGCTGTCTGAGGCAGGACTTTTGTTGTACAAAGGAGCAGATGGAGACCGGGCTTTGTCCGATGCTTGCAAGGAGTGAAGACATGGAGCCACAACTTGTTTCGAACTCTTCCAAACTGGTTCGAATCAAAGTGATATCACCCCTGCTTTGTGGATTTTGTGGCATCATGCAATTTTGACAACAATTTTTGAGCTCAAGACGTTGATTTGAGCAGCCAGAGGAAAGCATAGAACGATCTCTGGCAGAGCATCGGACGTGCAACCTCGACTTAAGAAAGATTTGCGTAAGCAAAGCAAGGGTATGTATTTGTATGTAGTAGAGCAAAACGAAGCGACGTGCCACGCTGGAAGTTTCGTTTCGATGAAAGTGCTTCCCACCAACCCATTTCTTGTCTCCACGCTTCCATGCTCTACCTCTTTCACCATTCTTCTCTTGTTCTATTTTTTTTCATCTGCGACCAGCTCTGTTGTGCGCTACAGCTTCAATATGTCCCACTTAGAAGAAAAGTCGAGAAAGAGATCCCAAGGCATGACCAGAAATGCCTAAATTGTTTCATTTGACCATTTGACATCTTTCTTGAAACCAAATCAGCCAAGCTTTGGGATGGTCAAACAAATATTAAGAATCAGGTGTAAACAAAGATGAGGACAGCAAAATTACAGGTTGTGATTGAGTGGGATTCTTATAAACATGGTTTTCATTTGATTTGATTGTGATAAATTCTTGCGTTGTGAGCCACTTTCCACTCTTTTGCTAAATGGCGAAATCCCGTCGCGCGGCTGAAGGACACAATTTCCAGATTGGAATTGAAACCAGAAGAGATCTCTCGAGCTGCAGAGAAGAGGCCATAGGGGTGGCCGCCATTGGTGAGTTATTCGGACATTTTTGGATATGAAGTGGGCCGTGGTTGCCAGAGATTTCGCCGACACATCTGGAATTTCTTCAGCTACGCAAGGCTTCAGGCTGTGAGGGGAGTGTTTGGAGAGGACTGGCTGCAGACTCCGGGATTTGAGTTGAGACTGGGAGCACGGGATAATATAGCAATATAGCAATTTAAATATATATATATACACATATGAAACACTGCTACTTTTCATGGTTTGTTGGATTCCCGGATCAAGCAGTCACGTGGAGTCGCCGCTTTGGGCAGAGCAGGATACATTCTCTGTGGAAGCAGCCCAGTTGCTAAGGTTGAAGGCCCTGGTACCGTTTCTGATCAGCACCATAACAAACGGATGCATCTGAAAATGGGGGTATACCCTTAAATCACAATTTTAATGAGAAAGATGACAACAAATCAGTGGATCGGTACCTTTTTTTTCCAGACAGATCCAGATAATCAGAAGGAACACTCCCTGGAAGGCCTTGGCTGCGGATATCGACGGTCCTGGTGGGATGGAACCGATGGAACTCAGAAGGAGCTTGCTCCGCTTACAACTTGCTTCTATTGAAAGAACTAGAGCAAGACCCCATTATGCCATCAGTTTGTGCTTTAATCATATAGAGATACACACATGCTATATACAATAGATTGATGTGACACAGTGGAATGAGACTGACCCTGTCAATATGTCACACATGAGCCCCAATGCGTTGAGACGGAAGACTGCAGGGCTGCAAGGTTTGGTCAAGCTTTGTCTTGATGCGCAGGAGATCGTTTGAGATAGCTCTGCCGCTGCTTCCACCAGGGAAACACTCTGCCAGTTGGGCGCTAAGTTCTTAAGGCCAATCTGAACGATCCCTCTGTGGTACTGACATCCTTCTGAGGTATATCAGCTATACCTGACAAAGATCTGACGGATGATTTTCTCTATGATGTGCTCCTAGAACTTGCTGAGTGACTCGC